CAACGTGCCGCTGGGACGCCTCGTGCACCAGCTGCGGCAAAGTCAAATTTACTTGACAGAGTCCCATCTGGACGAACTGCGGGCATTGAAGTTCAAGTGGCAGCTTTTCGATTAACGCATTTTATATATCAAATCATCAATCAAATCATCAATCGCACAGCGTTCATGTGGAATGGGGTTATCATGGAGACACTCGATATCTTGAATGCTAGAGCTGTCTTGGCGTCCACCAAGCAGCGCAAAATGAGGCAACATGAAATCGAGGGGCATTCTACAACTGCTGACGAGCAGAACACTCCCGGGTGCCCTCATCGCCCAAAGGACATTGTCGACAGACGACGACGAAAACACAAGGCTTTGCACCCCGACCTGTCGATTGTATAAGATCTAGCTGTCAACTGTGAAGAAGTACTGTTGAGTGTCACTAAGCGCGGAAACCTACCAAAACTTGCATGCATTATCACCGATTGTCCTCCACGCGCCTCCGAACGGTTCAGAACCAGAGCTAGATCGTCAAAACGGTGCTTAGAAAGGAATCCCAATTCTAGAATGGTATCGATCTCGCAACGTGGTCGAAAACCGTCCGTACGGTTGGGAGTCCGCGCATAACTCGACTTGCTACTTACTGTACAATACTTCACAGGTTCATAGTTGTTCCGTTGAAACGACCACAAGAACAACACTACCGGGGCATATGATATCCGGACATTATTATCCGGATGAAAGATGCTTGGCGTCGCTGCTCGGCAGCTTGTTGACGACGTTTGAAGTTTTTATGGAGTCGCGTGTTTCGTTCGATATGCATAGCGCATGACACGGGGAGCACAAAAAACAAAGAACGGGGCTCGTAGCGTGCCTACAGCCCGAGTTAGTCGCAAGTGTTGCGTGGCGGTTGACTGATACACTGATACATTGATACTAAATGCAGTATCAGTTTTGCCAACTTGAACGGGCGAAAACACACAGGCTGAAGGCACGCTACGAGCCCCGTTCTTTGTTTTTTGGGCTCCCCGCGTCATGCGCTATGCATATCGAACGAAACACGCGACTCCATAAAAACTTCAAACGTCGTCAACAAGCTGCCGAGCAGCGACGCCAAGCATCTTTCATCCGGATAATAATGCCCGGATAACATTTGCACCGCTCCTACAATGACAAGGAAATAGCAAATTTGCAAAGCAAGTCGTGCAGCTTGGATACGTAGCCGCGCGAATGTCATGTGTCACAAATTCCACCGCGGGGTGATGCTGTCTTGATCTCCAGACGCGGTGTTTCCTTTGGCTTTTCTGTGGCGTCAGCCTCTCGACGTGTCCACGAACGACGTCGTAGGCAGACCACTTCTTTCTGGTGCACCGACAAGAAATTCGTATTTGTGTAGCCATCGACACGGTACTAGCTATGGTGCGACGTTAATTACGTAGTTTTGTATTGTCCATATTACTCAAAGGTGTGGCTGCGGGGCACGCCGTCGCTGTTGCTCGTAGAATACTATTAGCAAGGCCATACACTTACTATGGCCTTGCTAGTAGTGTTAAAGCAAGCGCAGCAAACCTTGTTCTGCCACTCGTGAGCCAACTGGAGGTCGACGTTCGTTCAGTTTACACTGGCCGTATCCATCCTGAAGTGTCGGTATTGATCTTGGTAGTGCTGACCAACGAGTGGTGGCAAGAGCGATGACGAGTATATGCCGGCACGCAGGTTCACATGCGAGAGCCAATCACAAGTCGTGATCACGGTCTTGGGTTGGCGACAGAAATCAAGTAGCCAATGTGCGGCTCTCACGCTTGAAGGGAGCCACTGGATTCACAACATCTGGTTGCACTTGCCACTGGATTCTCACAGGCGCGAGTATGTGAGTAGTTTGACTGACGCCCAGTATACCGACTACGTACGGCCGTTCCAACTTCAAGTCGCCCCGTCTCCATCCCCACCGACTAGTCTTCAGTCAGCCCCCTCAGCCTTCGACAGCGAGGCCTTTGGACGCACTTTTCATTTCGCTACAGTATGCGCCGAGGGCTTCTACTTGCTCTGCTTGGAGCGTCGGTTTCGGCTCGGGACGACACGTGCTTAGTCGCGCCGGCCGCACGCCTCGACTGCTACCCAGCGACGAAGCACTTTCCCAACGCGACCGAGGAGGCTTGCCGCGCCCAAGGCTGCTGCTGGGATCCGGCGCAGACGTTCCCGTGTGCGTTTGGCCGGCTCCCGAAGCCGTCGCCGGCGGCGTGCAGCGCTGTGGTTCCGTCGTCGCGCATGGCTTGCCGCAACCCGCGCTACTTTTTGACGCCAAACTCGGCAACCGAGTGCGCTCTTATGGGCTGCTGCTACGACACGACGTCGGCCGAGTGCTTCCAGCCGCGCACGACGGGCTACGAGCTCGACACGGCGTCGTGGCACGAGACGGCTACGGGCTTCTCGGGCACATTACGTCTGCCGGCAGAGGCGCGCGGGCCGTTTGGCAACGACATTCGTACGCTTGCGCTGGAGGTTGACACCCAAGACGACTCTCGCGTCCGCGTCCGCATCACGGACCCGACGTTTCCGCGCTTTGAAGTGCCCCTCAACATCTCGAGCACCCCCATAAGCTCTACTGGCCACCGCGCCTACGACGTTCGCGTAACGTCGGCGCCGTTCGGGATCGCGGTCGTGCGACGCGCTACGGGCGAGACGCTTTTCAACTCGACACCGACACCGAGTGGGAATGGTCTCATCTTTGAGAACCAGTTTCTTGAGCTCTCGACGTCGACACCGACGCAAGCGACGTTCTTTGGCCTCGGTGAGCACGTCGGAACGTTCTTGGCGCCAACGGACGGCGACCATTTTACGATCTGGGCGCGCGACCAAGTAGCCAACAAGTACCACGCCCACACGCGCAACGGCAGCGACAACGTCTACGGCGTGCACCCCTTCTACGTCCGGCGCGAAGCCACTGGCGCCGCGCACGGTGTCTTTCTCTTGAACGCCAACGCGATCGAAGTCGTTGCGCAGCCGCAGTCGCTCACGTTCCGAACCGTCGGCGGCGTCCTCGATTTCTTTGTGTTTGTCGGTCCGACGCCGGCGGCCACCGTCGCGCAGTACACGGGCCTCGTCGGACGCCCGGCGCTGCCGCCGTACTGGGCGCTCGGGTACCATCTCTGCCGGTGGCAGAACCTCAAGAACCCGCACCCGAACCACCGCCTCTCGGACGTGGTGGCGACGCTGCAGCGCATGCGCGCCTTTGGCGTGCCGCAAGATGGGCAGTGGACCGACATTGACGCCATGGACCGCAAGATGGACTTCACATGGAGCAACGACGCCTTTCCCATCGAAGACGTCGTCGCGTTCGTTGAGGACCTTCACGCCCACGGCCAGCACTACGTGCCGATTGTGGACGCTGGCATTGCGATCGCGTCGCCCGCGTACACTGACGGCGTCGCGTCCCGAGTTTTCTTGCGCGATCCCGGCAACGTCAGCTGGGAGCAGGACAAGGCGTGGCCGGGCATGGTGGCGTTTACCGACTTTTACCACCCGAATGCATCCGCGTTCTGGGAAGCCCAGCTCCGCACCTACTATGCGACGGCCCAATACGATGGTATCTGGCTCGACATGAACGAGCCGAGCAGCTTTTGCACCGAGGGCGGGCGCGGCAGCCAGTCGTGCTTTCCGAACGACACGTACGTCGCACCGGCGTTTGTCAAGTCACCGGACGTCATGGGCCCGTTCGACCCGTACCGGCAGCCGTACGTGCCGGGGCAAAAGGTCGCGATGACCGGCAACCTCGCGTTCAAGACCGCGGCCCTCGGCGCGCACCACTTCAACTCGATCCACTATAACCTCCATTCGCTCTATGGGCACGCCAACGTGATGGCGACGCGGCAAGCCGTCGACCACATCCGGGGCAAGCGGACGCTCATTCTAACGCGCGCAACGTACGCGGGCGACGGGCAGTACGCCGCGCACTGGCTCGGCGACAATGCGGCAACGTGGACCGACATGCGCCAGAGCATCGCTGGCGTCTTGGCGGCCAACGTCTTTGGGATGCCGATGGTCGGACCAGACGTCTGCGGCTTCCGCGCCAACACGACGCGCGAGCTCTGCATCCGTTGGCACCAAACCGCGGTCCTCTTCCCGTTCATGCGCAACCACAACGAAGCCGAGCGCGACCAGGCGCCAGTCGACTTTGACGTCGACGCCATTGATATCATCAAACAGACGCTTCTGAAACGGTATGCGCTGCTGCCGGCGCTCTACACGGCGCTGTACCATGCCGCCGTCGACGGCGCGACGGTCGTCCGGTCGTTGTACTTTGAATTTCCCGATGACGCGGCGACGGTACCGATCGAGTCGCAGTATCTCCTCGGGTCGTCGATCCTCGTGGCGCCCGTGCTGACGCCGAGTGCTACGATCGTCGACGTCTACTTTCCAAAGGCGCTTTGGTTTGACCTCTGGAGCGGCGAGCGTGTGCAGACGACTGGTGGCCGCCGTGTCAGCGTCGACGCACCGCTGGAGACTGTCCCGATGTACCTCCGTGGCGGCGCCATTGTGCCACTGCAGGCACCGTCGACGACGACGACCGCGAGCCGCAAGAACCCGTTCAACTTGAAGATTGCGCTCTCGGTGACTGGAGAAGCTGCGGGCGACTTGTACGTGGACAGCGGCGACTCGATCGACCCACTTCGCACGGCGGACTTCACGCGTCTGTCATTTGCGGCTATCCAAGAGGCGAGCGGTGCCCTCTCTATTGCATCGACGCTCGTAGCGAATGGCTACACGGGGCCAGAAACCAAAGTCCACCTTGAGAACATCGAGGTGTACGGCGCCAAGGACGCTGTGACGTGGCACGTCGACGGCGCCGATGCCACGTGGAACACTACGACTGGCGTCCTCACCATCTCGGGCTTGTCGCTTCCCATCGGCGCGCCGTTTTCGCTGACGGTCCGTCCAGGTCACGAAGCGAGTGTCGCCAGCGACGGTGCATCGTCAGCGTTGGTCGGTGCTTCGTGGATTGAGTGGGTTGTTGCCACTGCCGCTGTCGCCGTGACGGCGCTCATCATTGTGCGCTACTGCTACGAGCGCCGTCAAGGCTACCGCCGTGTCGCCTAGTGGGCTGGCATAGGATAATGGATCGGGCGAATCGAGCTTTCTATCTTTCAGTGTTTTGTATCTTTGGAGATATCACGATGTGAATCTCGGTCTTTCATATCTCGACACCACACGTCTTTTATTTCAACTGTATGCTCGGTCGAGACGGGGTGGGAGTGGTTGGCGGTGGCTCGGGATCGACGCAGGCGCGCGAAGAGGACGTGGGTAACTCGGCGGCTCGCCTAGCAACGTTGCTCGGTAGGACGGTCAAGTGTACGGGGTTGTTGCTGTGGACTCGTCCTTGCCCTGGACTGGTTCTTGCCGATGTCGTATTGCGGCGTCTCTCGCGCCGTCGCGGCTTCCTGCGTTGGCCACATGTCGACTTTGGTGGCTTGGACAGGTGCTAATACATCTCGCGTTGGTTTGAGCGGTGGTCACTTCTGCTCAGTGTTTGCGGTTT